AGTACTGGAACTCCTAGCCACCGCAATCAGACAACAAAAGAGATAAAAGGCATCCACATCAGTAAGGAAGAGAAGTAAAACTTGCACTATTTGCAGATGACATGACATTATATAGAAAACCTAAAAGACTCCACGAAAAAAATGCTAGAACGGATACAGATTCAGTAAAGTCACAGGATACAAAAATGAATGTACAGAAATCTGTTGCATTTCTATACACCAGTAATGAAGTAGCAGAAAGAGAAATTAAAGAACCAATCCCATTTACAATTGCACCAAAAACAATAAGATACCTAGGAATAAACCTAACCAAAGAGATGAAAGACTTGCACTCTGAAAACTATAAAACATAGATGGAAGATTTTTCAAGACGACACAAAGAAATGGAAAGACAGTCCGTGCTCATGGATTAGAAGAATAAATATTGTTATAATGTTTATACTACCCAAAGCAAGCTACACTTTAATGCAATCCCTATCAAATTGCCAATAGCATTTTACACAGAGCTAGAACAATCCTACAATTTGTATGGAACCACAAAAGACCCTGAATAGCCAAAGCAATCTTCAGAAAGAAAAGCAAAGCTGGAGGCATCACAATTCGGGACTCCAAATTATGTAACAAAACTGTAGTAATCAGAACAGTCTGGTATTGTCACAAAAATAGACACAGATCAGTGGAACAGAATAGAAAACCCATAAATGAACCCACAACTATATGGTCAACTAAACTTTGACAAAGCAGGAAAGAATATCTAATGGGAAAAAGACTGTCTCTTCAAAAAATGGTGTTAGGAAAACTGGACAGCAACATGCAAAACGATGAAACTGGACCACTTTCTTAAACCATACACAAAAATAAATTCAGAATGGATTAAACACCTAAATGGGAGACCTGAAACCATCAAAATCCTAGAAGAGAACATAGGCAGTAACTTCTTTCCAGATGTGTCTCTTGAGGTAAGGGAAACAAAAGCAAAAATTAACTATTAGGACTTCCATAAAAATAAAAAGCTTCTGCACAATGAAGGAAACAATAAAACTAAAAGGCAACCTATGGAATGGGAGAAGATGTTTGCAAATGACATATCTGACAAAATGCTACTATCCAAAATACATAAAGAACTTACAGAACTTAACACCCCAAAAATGAATATTTCAATTAAAATTAGGTACTATACAGTGGCTAACTGAACATAATAAAAATAAATAAATGAGCAGAAGACAAGAACAGACATTTCTCCAAAAAAGACATCCAGAAGGTCAACAGACACATGAAAATGTGCTCAACATCCCTTATCATCAGAGAAATGAAAATGAGATATTACCTCACACCTGTCAGAACGGCTAACATCGACAACACAAGAAATAACAGATGTTGGCGAGCATGCGGAGAAAGGGGAACCCTCTTGCATCGTTGGTGGGAATGCAAACTGGTGCAGCCACTCTGGAAAACAGTATGGAGTTTCCTCAAAAAGTTAAAAATAAAGCTACCAATGATCCAGCAACTGCATTCCTATGTATTTACCCAAAGAATACAAGAACACTAATTCAAAGGGATACATGCACCCCTATGTTTATAGCAGTATTATTAACAATAACGAAGATTGGAAGCAGCTCAAGTGTCCATCTATTGATGAACAGATAAAGAAACCGTGGTATATATACACAATGGAATATAAGTCATAAAAAAGAATGAGATCTTTGCCATTTGCAACGACATGGATGGAGGTAGAAAGTATCATGCTAAGTGAAATACATCAGAGAAAGACGAATACCATACGATTTCATTATTATGTGGAATTTAAGAAACAAAACAAGGAAAGGGGAAAAGAAAACCAGAGACAGAGAGTGACAAAGCAAGAAACAGACTCTTAATTATTTAAGAGAGCAAATTGATGGATACTGGAGGGGAGGTGGGTAGGGGGATGGGTAAAATAGGTGATAGGGATTAAGGAGTACACTTGTCATGATGAGCACCGGGTGATGTACGGAACTGTTGAGTTACTATATTGTATACCTGAAACCCATTATTACACAGTATAATAACTAACTGGAATTAAAATAAAAACTTAAAAAAACCCCAGACTCTTAAATACAGAGAACAAACTGTTGGGGGGATGGGTGAAACAGATAAAGAGGATTAAGAGGTACACACTTCTGGATATAAAATAAGTCAGTCATGGAAATGAAAAGTACAGCATAGGGAATATCGTCCATAATATTGGTAATAACATTATATGGTAACAGATGGTGGCTACACTGATCCTGGTGAGCACTGAGTAATGTATACAATTGTCAAATATGTTGTGCACCGGGGCGCCTGGGTGGCTCAGTCGTTAAGCGTCTGCCTTCGGCTCAGGTCATGATCCCAGAGTCCTGGGATCGAGCCCCGCATCGGGCTCCCTGCTCCGTGGGAAGCCTGCTTCTCCCTCCCCCATTCCCCTTGCTTGTGTTCCCTCTCTCACTGTCTCTCTCTGTCAAATAAATAAATAAATAAAATCTTTAAAAAAAAAATATGTTGTGCACCTAAAACTAATATAACATTGTGTGCCATACTTCAGTTAAAAAACACACTCCTTGTTCAATCCTCTCAGCTATGTTTGGCTTTCATATTAGCCGACCTCCCTTTGGTGCTGTGGAAAGATACATGACATAATGTGGTTGAAATGATGAGTTGCAGTCGTCCTGGTATCATATCCAGTTCTCCTCCCCTTGCAACTGGACAGGGCCATGTGCCTAGTTCTGGGTGACCTGTGAGCAGAGGGGGTCGGTATCCCACACACCTCTCTTTGCCGGGGCATGCGATCCTGCAGGAGGCTTTGTTTTTAGGGGCAGAGCCGCAAGATTAAAACCACCTGACCCTGGAGCTGCCACACAAGGAAAGCTGTCTTCAAGAAGCATTTGCATCACCCAAAATCCTTTGCAGCCTTTAATTAAAGCCACTGAAATTTGGGGGCTGTTTTTTACTCTGAGATAGCCTAGCTTATGCTAATTCCGAAAGCAAGGAGAACATGCCACACTTCTTATCACACGTTCCCCATCATCAGCAGTTAAGACACGGCATTCCACGCATGCATTTAATGTAGCCGTCCACGTACCTTGGTTTCTAATTTTCTTGATCATTATGTTTTTGGCCTGAAGCTTCCCCCCTCAACCCCCACCCCCAATTGTAGAGGACCACCTTAGCCCAAAGTCTTCAGATGAGACCTAGCGGCCATCCTCGTTAGATCAAACCTGTCCCTATCCTGTTGAAAATATTCATGCTTTACTAATGGTGAGGACAGAGTACCAGCAGCTCTGTAAACAGGATCTCCAGATGGATCACGGATTGATAAAATCCAGGGAGATACATAAGCCAATGATTAACTACTTTGTCCATTTTTATTGTTTCTTGGTTGTGTGCCCCCAAATAAGAGGTCGCAGAGTGTAGATATCTAGATCACAGAAAGTGAAACTGGTTTCCCAGGGGAAGTTCGATTGGGAGGAGCAGTGTGGTTGAATGTAATTACAGGTCCTGGGTTACTGTCACACAACTCTGGTAGGCACTGTTCCTATCAGGTTTCACAGAAATGGAAATTTTGTGCTCAAGGAACACAGTGTTGACTGTGCAGCAGGGCAGGCCCGAATCATGTCCTGTGCCTCAGTTTCCTTCTTGTAAAATGGGGCTATTACATGCTTCCCAGGCCTTCGGAAAAACTATACTCCGTACTTTTCTTAATAGTTATACTTTTTCTTTTTTACTGTGGGTAAATAAAATTTCTATAGAACACACACAAAGAATAAGGGTTCCAAAAGAACCCAGGATCAGAGACACACTGAAATAGAAATTCTGATGGATGAAACACTATTTAAAACTCTCAGGGGTTGGCAGATTACCTCCTGGGGACCAGATCTGGCCTGGGCTTATTTCTGTAAACAAAGTTTCATTAAAACACAGTCAAGCTCATTCATCTTACATTATATTTATGGCTGTTTTCACGGTACAACAGCAGAGTTAAGTCATTGTGACAAAAATATATGGCCTACAAAGCCTGAAATACATATGATTTGGTCAATGACAGCCAAGACTAGAATAGTGGTTCTCAAACTTGAGCGTGCGTCTCAGAATCAATAGTGGTGGGCTTATTAAAATACAGGTTTCTGGGCTCTACCCTGGAGTTTCTTATTCAGTAGGTGTGGGGTGGGACCCATGAATCTATTTCTATCAAGTCCCACCCAGCTGATGCTGATGTTGCTGTTCCAGGGACCACAGCTGAGAACCATAAGACTAGGGTGTATGGTCTACAAGACATACTGATGAGACAAATTCCAATGGGAATGGAACAGAATGGGCACCAGCTGTGCATGGAGCTGTTTTTCAATTTCCAGAACAGGCTAGGGGAGAGAGGTGCTTCAGGTGCCTCTTTCTCCAGGACTCTGCCTCAGTTAAAAAAAAAAAAAAAAGAAAGGAAGAAAGAAAAGGATATCCCAGGGCTACACAGAACCAAGCTACTGATGCTATATTTATTGAATTCATGCTGCACACATACATGGGGAACTCAGTAAATAAGGTTGGCTATAAGAGAACCCCTCCACTTGTGGGAGTATGGGAATCCTGTAAGTCTGCAGCACCCAGGGCCAAATGTTCCTTAGCTACAGTCAGCTGTTACTAACTTGTAGCTATCTAATTACGAAATTCTAGGTGAACACATTAATCTGGTATTACTTCTTTCTGATGGGTGCCAACCTCTGAGCTCTGAGAACCAGTCTCTTCGAGACAAGGCCAAGCAATGATAAGCTTCTCTGTTTTGTTTTTACTTACCCATCTGTCCCCCTATCTCTGCTGCTGTGGGACATCAGTTAATTGGTGTAGGATTGTTATAAAAGAAGCCACTTGGCAGAAATGGGAAACACGGTAGGCGGAAGAGTCGTGCGCCAAGTAGGGAATGGAATGGAGGTTTGCCACAGTTCATGTTACAAGAATTCTGCTGCAAAGGAGAAAGACAGGAGTCTTCTTACCTGTGAAGCTGCAGAAGAGGAAGTGAGATCCTGCCGTTTTCGCTCGGTCTAGAAAATTCTCTTCACAGGGACACACAGGAAGGAGGATTATAGTGAAAGAAGAGGTTTCTGATCCCTCTTGTCCCATACCCATCAGACTTGGTTCTTTCAGGCCAGGCATAAAAGAAGCTCTTCAGGGACAGCCAGAGAAGGTTGGATGGAATTCAGCGAGGGCTGCCCTTCCTGCACCGCTCCAGACACTGCTCTGCTCTTCATCCCTGCAGTGTGGAGCCCTCCCAACTTAGGGAAAACAGCTGCTCCATAGGCTCCATAGGGCTCAGCGGAGCAGGAGAGCTCTGGTTGAAATTGGCCCCCTCACGTTGTTCATGCATGAAACATGAGGGCAGTTAGGAGCCAGCTGACCAATCATCCCAGGACTGACCAATCAGGGCCGAGGTTTTAAAAGTGAAACCCTGAGCTCTTTTTCAGCCCAGCCTAGGGACACTTCTTGCGTTGGGGTCTGTCTGTTCCCCAGGTCTGGGAGGACCTAGGAGAAGGTGGGGATATGAGACAAACTTAGAAGGGAAACTCAGATGTCTGGATATTACAGAGTCTCTGCTTCCTCCTTGGTCTCAGGAGGACTTCTGCTTATCTTGCAAGATGCAGTTACAGCACTCTCCTCCCCCTCTTCTCTGAAGTGTTTCCTGACCTTCCCATCAGGGCTGGTCTCTTCCCTCTTTGGCCTCTAGAACACATCTCGATCACAGCATTTTTCACATTGCTCAAATTGCCTGGTTTCATGTCCGTTTTTGCCCCTGAACCATGTGTCTTTATTTTACTTATTTAAAAACAACGTGTTTTAACTCTTGAGTGCTTAACAAATACTAACTCAGTTAATCTTTGTTTTTTCCCAGCTTTATTGAAATGTAATCAAGATATAACATTCTTTAAGTTGAAGGTGTTCAACATGATTTGATACACATATATTGTAAAACAAGACCACCGCAGGGTTAATTAACATTTCCTTCACCTCAAGTAATTACCTTTGTGTGTGTGTTTGTGTGCGTGTGTGGTGAGCACATTCAAGATTTACTCTCTTAGCAATTTTCATGTGTACAATACAGTATTGTTAACTATAGTCACACTGTAGTACGTTAAATCCCCAGAACTTACTGATTTTCTAACGGGAGGTTTGTACCCTTTGACCAACATTTGTCCATTTCCTCCACCCCTCAGCTCTTGTCAACCACCCTTCTTTCTTTCTATGAGTTCACCCTTTTTAGACTCCATGTATAAATGAGATCATTCAGTACTTGTCTTTCTCTGACTTAGCATAATACCTTCAAGATCCATCCATGTTGTTTCAAATAGTGGGGTTTCCTTCTTTCTCAAGGTGGAATAACATTCCATTGTAAATATGTATCACATCTTTTTTTTTTTTAAAGATTTTATTTATTTATTCATGAGAGACAGAGAGAGAGAGACAGAGGCAGAGAGAGAAGCAGGCTCCCCGCGGAGCAGGGAGCCCAATGCGGGACTCGATCCCAGGACCCTGGGATCATGACCTGAGCCAAAGGCAGACGCTTAACCGACTGAGCCACCCAGGCGTCCCTGTATCACATCTTCTTTAGCCATTTTTCCTTTGTCAGACTCTTAGGTTGTCTCCATGTCTTGGCTATTGCAAATAATGCTGCAATGAATGTGGAGATACAGATACCTTTTTTTTTTTAATAACAAAGTTAACAAAAAATTTATTTGGATGTTCATGGACTGGGCAATACTAAGACCCTATTTTTTTTTAATTCCAGTTTAACATACAGTATTATGTTAATTTCAAGTGTACAATATAGTGATTCAACAATTCCCTATATAACTCAGTGCTCATTAAGATAAGTTTACTTTTTAAATTTTTTATTGTTATGTTAATTACATTACATCATTAGTTTTTGATGCAGTGTTCCATGATTCATTCTTTGTGCATAACACCCAGTGCTCCATGCAGAACGTGCCCTCTTTAATACCCATCACCAGGCTAACCCATCCTCCCACCCCCTTCCCCTCTAGAACCCTCAGTTTGTTTTTCAGAGTCCATCGTCTCTCATGGTTCGTGTTCCCCTCCAATTTCCCCCCTTCAATCTTCCCCTCCTGCTATCTTTTTTTTTTTTCTTAACATATATTGCATTATTTGTTTCAGAGGTACAGATCTGTGATTCAACAGTCTTGCACAATTCACAGCGCTCACCAGAGCACATACCCTCCCCAGTGTCTATCACCCAGCCACCCCATCCCTCCCACCCCACCCCCCACTCCAGCAACCCTGAGTTTGTTTCCTGAGATTAAGAATTCCTCATATCAGTGAGGTCATATGATAAATGTCTTTCTCTGATTGACTTATTTTGCTCAGCATAACACTCTCCAGTTCCATCCACGTCATTGCAAATGGCAAGATCTCATTCCTTTAGATGGCTGCATAATATTCCATTGTATATATATATACCACTTCTTCTTTATCCATTCATCTGTCGATGGACATCTTTCCACAGTTTGGCTATTGTGGACATTGCTGCTATAAACATCGGGGTACACGTACCCCTTTGGATCCCTACATTTGTATCTCTGGGGTAAATACCCAGTAGTGCAATAGCTAGATCGTATGGTACCTCTATTTTCAAGTTTTTAAGGAACCTCCATACTGTTTTCCAAGAGTGGTTGCACCAGCTTGCATTCCCACCAACAGTGTAGGAGGGTTCTCCTTTCTCTGCATCCCCACCAACATCTGTCGTTTCCTGATTTGTTAATTTTAGCCATTCTGACTGGTGTGAGGTGGTATCTCATTGAGGTTTTGATTTGGATTTCCCTGAGGCCGAGCGATGTTGAGCATTTTTTCATGTGTCTCTTGGCCATTTGGATGTCTTCTTTGGAAAGATGTCTGTTCATGTCTTCTGCCCATTTCTTGATTGGATTCTTTGTTCTTTGGGTGTTCAGTTTGATAAGTTCTTTATAGATTTTGGATATTAGCCCTTTAATATGTCATTTGCAAATATCTTCTCCCATTCTGTCGGTTGTCTTTTGGTTTTGTTGACTGTTTCTTTTGCTGTGCAAAAGCTTTTTATCTTGATGAAGTGCCAATAGTTCATTTTTGCCCTTGCTTCCCTTGCCTTTGGCAATGTTTCTAGGAAGAAGTTGCTGCGGCTGAGGTCGAAGAGGTTGCTGTCTGTGTTCTCCTCTAGGATTTTGAGGAACTCCTGTCTCACATTTAGGTCTTTCAACCATTTGGAGTCTATTTTTGTGTGTGGTGTAAGGAAATGGTCCAGTTTCATTCTTCTGCATGTGGCTGTCCAATTTTCCCAACACCATTTGTTGAAGAGACTGACTTTTTTCCATTGGACATTCTTTCCTGCTTTGTCAAAGATTAGTTGACCATAGAGTTGAGGGTCCATTTCTGGGCTCTCTATTCTGTTCCATTGATCTATGTGTCTGTTTTTGTGCCAGTACCATACTGTCTTGATGATGACAGCTTTGTAATAGAGCTGGAAGTCCGGAATTGTGATGCCACCAGCTTTGCTTTTCTTTTTCAACATTCCTCTGGCTATGCAGGGTCTTTTCTGGTTCCATACAAATTTTAGGATTAATTGTTCCATTTCTTTGAAAAAGTGGATGGTATTTTAATGGAGATTGCATTGAATGTGTAGATTGCTCTAGGTAGCATTGACATCATCACAATATTTGTTCTTCCAATCCATGAGCATGGAACGTTTTTCCATTTCTTTGTGTCTTCCTCAATTTCTTTCATGAGTATTTTATAATTTTCTGAGTGCAGATTCTTTGCCTCTTTGGTTAGATTTATTCCTAGGTATCTTACGGTTTTGGATGCAGTTGTAAATGGGATCGACTCCTTAATTTCTCTTTCTTCTGTCTTATTGTTGGTGTATAGGAATGCCACTGATTTCTGTGCATTGATTTTATATCCTGCCACTTGACTGAATTCCTGTATGAGTTCTAGCAGTTTTGGGTTTTCCACATAAAGTATCATATCATCTGCAAAGAGTGAGAGTTTTACTTCTTCTTTGCCAATTTGGATGCCTTTTATTTCTTTTTGTTGTCTGGTTGCTGTGGCTAGGACTTCTAATACTATGTTGAATAGCAGTGGTGATAGTGGACATCCCTGCCACGTTCCTGACCTTAGGGGAAAAGCTCTCAGTTTTTCCCCATTGAGAATGATATTCACTCTAGGTTTTTCATAGATGGCTTTTATGATATTGAGGTATGTACCCACTATCCCTATACTCTGAAGAGTTTTGATCAAGAAAGGATGCTGTACTTTGTCAAATGCTTTTTCTGCATCTATTGAGAGGATCATATGATTCTTGTTCTTTCTTTTGTTAATGTATTGTATCATGTTGATTGATTTGCGGATGTTGAACCAACCTTTCAGCCCAGGGATGAATCCCACTTGGTCGTAGTGACTAATCCTTTTAACGTACTGTTGGATCCTATTGGCTAGTATTTTGGTGAGAATTTTTGCATCCATGTTCATCAAGGATATTCGTCTGTAATTCTCCTTTTTGATGGGGTCTTTGGTTTGGGGATCAAGGTAATGGTGGCCTCATAAAATGAGTTTGGAAGTTTTCCTTCCATTTCTATTTTTTGGAACAGTTTCAGAAGAATAGGTATTAATTCTTCTTGAAATGTTTGGTAGAATTTCCCTGGGAAGCCATCTGGCGCTGGGCTTTTGTTTGTTGGGAGATTTTTGATGACTGCTTCAATTTCCTTGGCGCTTATCGGTCTGTTCAGGTTTTCTATGTCTTCCTGGTTCAGTTTTGGTAGTTGATACATCTTTAGGAATGCATGCATTTCTTCCAGGTTATCTAATTTGCTGGCATAGAGTTGCTCATAATATGTTCTTATAATTGTTTGTATTTCTTTGGTGTTGGTTGTGATCTCTCCTCTTTCATTCATGATTTTGTTGATTTGGGTCATTTCTCTTTTCTTTTTGATAAGTCTGGCCAGGGGTTTATCAATCTTGTTAATGCTTTCAAAGAACCAGCTCCTAGTTTCATTGATCTGTTCTACTGTTCTTTTAGTTTCTATTTCATTGATTTCTGCTCTGATCTTTATTATTTCTCTTCTCCTGCTGGGTTTAGGCTTATTTGCTGTTCTCTCTCCAGCTCCTTTAGGTGTAGGGTTAGGTTGTGTATTTGGGACCTTTCTTGTTTCTTGAGAACGGCTTGTATTGCTATATACTTTCCTCTTAGGACTGCCTTTGCTGTATCCCAAAGATTTTGAACAGTTGTGTTTTCATTTTCATTGGTTTCCATGAATTTTTAAAATTCTTCCTTAATTTCCTGGTTGACCCATTCATTCTTTAGTAGGATGCTCTTTAGCCTCCATGTATTTGAGTTCTTTCCGACTTTCCTCTTGTGATTGAGTTCTAGTTTCAAAGCATTGTGGTCTGAAAATATGCAGGGAATGATCCCAATCTTTTGGTACCGGTTGAGACCTGA